AAAAGCAATCTATAGTCCTTGTCACTGATATGGGTGTCAATGGTTTTCAAAAATTCGGTTTTAAATTCGATATTCTACATAATCAAGTCAAGCTCGGATAATTCAAATATTATAATTGGTCGAATTTGGATATCCTATTCATATTGTTTAAGTAATCGAGTTAAATTTGGATATGACCTAATTCGATTTGATAGATATTCAAATTTTCTGGATTATTTAATTCTTATATATATAATATAAAATATTTAAATATTTTATATAGTATATATAATAATTAAATTATATATTTATATACTTCATATAAATAAAATATATATTTATTAATTACTTAAAATAATTAATTTGTCTAATTTGAATTAAATCAAATATTTAAACATTCAATCAAATTTGAATTTGAACATCTTTCAGATATTGAATCGAATTCAAATATTAAATTTTGTAACCATTTAAATTCGAATATTGCCTAATTCAATTTAAATTCGATCCACTTACACGCCATATAATCACATATCATGCACCCTGCTTGGAGTTATATTTTAAGGACTGTTGTAGGATGACTTTTGACAGCAGGATCCAACATCATCTGTTTAGTTTGGTTAATAGGTTGTTAGAAGCCGCTATCTTTGTTTTAAATTTATAATAGTTAAATGTAGGTGGAATGGGTCCACAAACCGCGTCCGGGTGGGTGCTGCTGCCTCATGAGTCACAAGTCACACGGGTCATTGTAATTTTGTAGTTGTTCCATTTTCTTCTACGATCCACACAATGATAATTAACACCTACGACCCACTTTCTTCTATTCTCCACACATAAAAAAAGGTTTCTCTCATCCTATGGCCCACAGTCACAGAGTATTTTTTTTATACACATGGTGCCCAAGCTTTTTTTTTTTTGACTTTTTTTATTTTATAATCATTAGGGGACCAGGTATCATATCGGTATTTTAATTCTTGATCATATTTAGTGTCTAATTGGACAAGTCAGGGATCTACTGCTTGCACAACTGAGCATAACAAGCTACATAATCAATCATGAGTGAATTAATTTGCTAGTGTTTTGTACATATGGATCCAGTCATTTTGGAGCCTGGAGGGCTGAAGAAGTGAAGAGTAGTGGCTTCTAGATTTCTAAGGTGGGCCTCACGCAAACATCTTGCTTAGGGAAAAGCGTAGAGGGCCCAAATCAATTGTCAGTCAATCATTTGAAGGACTATGGGCTTCGGCCTCTTTGAATAACTTATCCAAACTTCCAAAGCACTTCAAAATAGCTGAACCAAACAGACCTTAAATTTCTCTTCAATTCTTCCTAAGTGTTTCTTTTTTTCTGTCTTCTATTTTTAATTCTTGGGGCTACACAGCCTTAACCCATCCCCAATGCTGGTGCAAGTGGGATTGGATTCCAAGCCTCCGCTACCACCAGAGCAAGATTCCTTTTCTTTTTTTTTTTCATTTTTTTGAGCAAGGAATATATTAGAAATATAAATGGAATCTACCATCTGTAAATAGCCATGGGTGAACTAGATCGGCCATTTGCAGCATTGCAGCGAAATTGGTCAAGTTTAGGGTCAGGCTGGGTGTTTCATAATTTTCATAAACAAGTATTAGAAATAGAGGTATTCACGTGCCAGGCTGGGCCAGTTTGATCCGGGCTTAGCCTCTTATCAATGGAAAATGTCTAGGCATGAGTCTGACCCTGGACCAAGTGGGCCTGGATATTGAACTCAAGCCCAACACTTATATAAAGCTCAAAGCTTGACTGTACAGTGTTAGGTACCTGGTCATTTTTCAGGAAACATTACCATGTCAGCGCTATAAAGTATTTTAAGCAATTTTTTATTTGATTAACTAATTCTAGTAAAAAGTGGTTCTAATTATTTTAACTCGGTTTTTGTGAAACTCTTCTGGTCAAAAACAACCTTTTCACCCTTCTTGCTCCCAAAGATGTTGTCCTGCCTGGGGCGAAATAGAATAAACACAAATTAACAATAATGCCTGGGAGTTTGTGCAGTATCACCTGCTCTCCTGCTATATGGTACCAAGCATCACCTAAGCATGAGAATTCATCAAAATTCATGGTGGTTATTTAGATCGATGAAACTCTCCAATGTGTGAGTGGGTGGGTATGAATGTATGATATAGGAAACCCGATCTAGTATTTTAAGCTCAACTTAGACCGAGTACAAATATAAATATACGTAGAGCGAAAAATCCTTTGATTTTTGTATGCATTTGTACTGCATATATTTGTTTTGTATTTGTACTCCTTCCGAACTGAGCACTGGAGTTTGATCAACCAAAACAGCTTTCATGAATTTTCATGAATTTCCATTGGCTAGTGTACTACTTAGTGAGATCTCGATTGATAAATGCAATTTTATTGTTTAAAATGAGTTTGTTTTCTATTAATTAGGTAATCCGTAGGTCATTTAGGCTGCGTTTGGAAACAATGCAAATGGAGTATAAATCCCGGTTCAGGGTAAATTTGTACTCTAGTTCACTTTTGTCTGTATTTGGCAACATTATATTTATGCATTGACAAATGACTGATCAATGAATATTTACATTGATAGCAAGATGTAAAAGTACATAAATAAAAAAAGAAGTAAATTTGCATTCAAGTGTGCTTTTGATAAAAAAAACATATGTTTTACTGGAATTCATATTGCATCCATTACAACTAAAAGTCTGTTTGGTAAGAAGATAAATTTGTCAGTGCAAAACTAACCCAAATTTACAATTTATATGAACTATTTTACACTACATATTTGCATTGTTTCCAAACACAGCCTTAACTACTTTCTTAAACTATGTTCTAAACAATCTTTAATAGTTCGAATTGAATCTCAAAAGGGAATAGTTTTACTATTGTTCTATCAACTTTTTATATGATTTGTCAAGATACTCTGCCACCTGTTCAAAACAGTAGGGCTGCAAGTAGTATCCTATTCAATCCAATTCAATCAGTTTGCAGCCATACAAAAGACTACCCTTTTATGCATTACTTTTACTAAGCCCCCAAACTGAATGAACCACTGAACTGATGAACTTTTCAATTCCCTGCTAGAGGAATTCACATATGCGCCTCACAGAGGGTGCCCCACAGCATATTCCAACCGTGTTTTGGGAACATCTTCCACTGGTAGCATGGGGAGGTGTTCCCAATGCATATTGAAATGTGCATATAAGACGTTTGTGGGGTGCAGATGTGATCTTCTGTCAGAGATCTTAATTACATCTCTCAAAAAGGTTGATGTTAATTATCTTCACTAAAAAGGAAAAAAAAAAGAAAAGAAAAACAAAAGCTCATTTCAAATGATGTATATGATACATAAAGTGGTTAATATTTAAAAATAAAATTTCATTTAATCTCTTAAATTAAATAATAAATTTATATATCAAATAAAATAATAATCTAAATTTACAACATATAAAAAATGGGTATCAACCACAAAACTTATTAGAATACATGAATAAAAAATATCATAATACTGACCCCGTTCTTAGTATGGTCATTCTCCAATTCTCCCGTCAACCAGTAAAACTGTGACGAAGTGAGCTTTTCAGTTTTTCGTCCAGCCCAAGTCTGATAACATTGTTAAACAGGTCCCTCCATATGGCATAAATATAGATTAATAGCTCGGTTGATTGTGTGGAAAAGCTCACTACTTAACCAAATTGAAAAGCCTTTTTCCATGTGCGTATGTGTGTTCTGTGGATAATTAATAACCAACTTTATCGTCTTTGTTTTTAATTCCGATGAGCCATGTTGATACTGGCTTGAGTTTGAGATCATAATGGATGAGTACAGATCGGATGCTCTTAATATCACACAGACTGGATGCAAGTGCACAGAAGAAACAAGTGTGGGGCAGATCCCGAATTCGTAATATAAAAGGGGAATTAGAATTTAGCATTGTTGGGTTTGGTTGGTGTAGGCCCTCTCAAATTTGAACTGTAAGAAGAAGAGGAGTCTCTTGCTTAGGTGTCGTATATGTAGATATTACAGATGTGGGTGTTCTGAAGTTGGGTTTCTTTCAACGCTAGAAACGGAAATGGCAGCCCATTTCAAAGCATGATTTTGTCGAGAAGAGCCCAATTAGGAAGTCGATAGCAACGGTGGCTACTTTTTATTAATTTGTGGGTGCTTGAATGCATGAGATGGGTTCTGGTTTGACCAAATCCCATTCTACCAAATTAGGGCCCAATCAACCATGAGCCCCCGACCTAACCCAAGATGTTGGCCCGGGGCTTAAAAGCAGGATTTTTCAAACTTCAGGCGGACTGGATTCTGGATGGTGCGGAATGAGACAGGACCAGGGAAAGGATCAACCAATCCGACCAATCTGCCATTCTAGGTAGAAAAACTGAATTCTATTTAGCGAATCGTAAGGCAGTGTTTGTTTCTCCATAAAATGGCGTAAAACTTTTTAAGATTGAAATATTTCAACTATTAGTTAATAGCTATTGTGCATATGTCTGCCCCTGTCACGTTGTTGTTTGGCATGGGATGGATGTCAAAATGACAATCGAAGATCTAAGAGCTCCAGAGTTTTGAAGAAGCAAGCTATCGGCACATTAGTAGACACAAAAATCATTTGACACACTTTCTAACTAGTCGATCTTGCTCTTTTAAAAGAAAATGCATGGTTATATTACTGTCCTAGCTGCAGAGATCTTTTTTATTTCTTCAAGTCTGACCTTTGTTGCTTGTATCTTTTTATTTTCTCAATGAACTAAGTTCAGTCTTTTGCCCCCAAAAAGGATTAATGGTCATTCTTGTCTTGTGTTTATCTTGGGATAGTCGAAACTTTGATACCATGCATATATTGTGTGGAAAGTGCGATTACAGTACTGGTATGATGGCATCAGGGGAGAAATAGAGACAAAAACAGACAGAAAAGAAACTACAAATAATAACAAGGATTTCTATATGCATATACACGTTTATATATACAAGGAAATGAAAAAGAAGAAAGCAAAAAAAAAGAGAAAACATAGGGCTAGCTTGAACTCGTCAGTAACTTGTTCGTATTTACATCATTCGAGTAAATCTGGCCGGACTCCTGATGATGATAAGGTTTCACTGCAATAACAACGTACGATATATTAATTCCAGCAGCCGTGATTAGGACGCCATATATTCGATGAGACCAAGAATGGCAGCAGTTGGATCTCCAAGAATGGAGGTCAGAATGATTTTGAAGACTACTTTGGCAATTCTCCAATACCTTCTAATTGTGGCACCGTTTGTAGTTGAATTAGCAGGAATGGCGAGCTGCTGCTCCAGCTGGTTCCTACTACACACCACCAAAGCTCCATCATTCTTCTCCAAAACCTGATCATCATGACATGTTCCCTGCCGAGACGACAGATGAGATAAATAGCCTCTCTTCCACGTCTCAAGAAGCACATCCTTGACGCATGAAACATGAAAATGATATTTGGTGCAGGTAGAGACGTAGGACCATCCCGTAACCCTACCCCACAACTCCCTCCTTCCACACTTGTAGCACCTGGACTTCACCTTGTCTCGAAGCTTTAGCGTCACCCCTTCGCCTCGAATTACATTGGGAAGTCTGCGACAACAAGGGTGCAAATCATACCCTCCTTCTGGGCAGTGATAGACGAAGCCCTTTATGTCTCTACCGCAGGCATCGCAGTATCGCTGGCGCTCTCCTGGGGCTCCTTCCATAAACTCGAAGCTATAGCCTTTGTAGAATGGGTGGCTGATGGATGAGGAGTCGGGGAACATGCAATCCTCGTGGAGATCATAGTTACAGGCATCGCATCGATACCTTATTCCAAACCCTATTTCCTTGCAGCCATCGCAAGTGTATGGCGTTTCGCTCTTCTCCAATTGTAGATTGTGTTGAGGGTGACTGAAATGAGGTTGATCGGTGTAAATCATTGTGACAGATGAGCTCCCTCCTCTGCTTGATAGTTATATTGGTCGATGATGTCGATGATGTTATATATATATAATTCTTTCTTCTTCTATATCGATGATGGGATTCGGGTGTATTGATTAATTGGTTGGTATATATGGAATGGAAGGGTTGATAAACATATATTTATAGAGACTCGGCGTCCTCTACTGGTACACGTTTTTCTTGTTATTTCTTTCTTCCGTTAAATTTCGCATACGACTGACTTTGTGGAATATATTTTCTGCTAGTTTCTCTGTAATTTCTGCTCTAGCTACATGGTTAATTGTATATATGCACACGCAACGCATATGCATAAAAATCAAAAACCAATATTATCGTAGGGATAAATTTGATAAGCTTCTTATTAGCTGCTACTTTAGATTCTCAAAGTTCTTTTCCTTTTCTTTTATTTCTTTCGGTTGTTTCTTCACAGTTTCTAGGAAGATGTTCCGAATGGACGTCCTCTTGCCTGCATACACGAAAAGGAAAGAATCCAAAAGAAAAAGAAAAGGAATGGGGATTCTGGTTTGAATTTTGGTTATTGGTAACTGCTAGATGGCGATTTCATACATATATGGCGCAAATTATTTAAGTATATGTATTGATGTTATTGTGAGGGTTCCTGGTAGTTATTCCTATATATACGTACACATCCAAGTAAGGAGGAGAAGCGAGTGACATACTTTAGTTGAGCCAACGTTTTGTTTTGGCACCGGCGACTCAAGGATGAAGAAGGACCACCAATTAAAAGCGTGCATAGGAGGAGAAAAAGGAGAGGTGGGAACTGGGAAGGAATCGCGTTTAGAAAATTTGGGATATGGGAGGGAGTTGTTAGTACCTACCACCTCTCTGAACAGGTCGAAGAAATGTAATTACAGCAGCGAATTCATTGAATCAAGTTATGCGGTAAGGAAGTTGATGAGAGAAGTAGTGATCAGTTGGATTTTGATGGCGTTGTGCTTCGCCTTCCGCTTACTTTTTGTCTTGCTCCAACGAAACCGACCAAAATTAGAGTTTTGGTACGTCTAGATATTTGCATGCCGCCTTCAACCCTCTGTTGATAGGTGATTATGCATGATTAGAAAATAAGTGAGATATAGAAAATGAATTTTACAAAATCGGCAATATCTATATGAGACTCTAGAAAGAAAGAAATGACAAGGAAGAAGAAGAAAGAAAGAAATTCAAATTAATAAAGGTATTGCCCAAAGACGCAGTGACACCATGAGGTCGGTTTTGTTTTTACTAGTTGGGGCTTGGGACTGGGGAGTCTCCTTGAAAATGAATTTGGTTCTTTATATCATATTGTCTGTGACTTTGAGTCAACCCATAATAATATATTGAAACAATAAGTGAGGTTGAATCGTTGTTCACTTGTTTGTTGATGATAACGACAACAACAAGATGAATGCCCACCTCTGCACACGCATAGTTAAAAATAATAAAAAGAAAATTAAGAAAATAGGTCCAGGAGGCTTTCCCTGGAAAAGATAGGGGACAATCTCCGTCAGATCTGAAAAATCCATTCATCTCGGCTCTCGGGGATTTCAGCTCTGCAAGTCTCTCTCTCTAAACTAAAGACAGAGTAAAATTAAATAATTTAAAAAAGAAAAAGAAGAGAAAAGGGGAAGAATTGCAATTTCTCCTATGGCCGAGAGGAATGGTAAAGAGAGAAAAGCGGGAGGAAGAAAGGGGAAGGGGAAGAAGAGAGATCGGGGGAGAGAGAGAAATGTGAAGGAATTTGAGGTAGAAGGGATTATCGCCGCTCTATTCATGTATCGTGAAATTGGGGAAGATGAGCAGTGTTTTTCTCCCAATTGTCTGAATAATTATTACAAGGTAGTATGGGGATTAAAAATTATTGCAACGGTGGATTTCAATGGAAAGCTAACCAAATGAGTTATTTGTCTCACGGTCATAGTAAAAAGGGGGTCTTTGTCGCAAAACAAAGTACATATGGTCTTTGTCACAGACCCCATAGTACCGGGGGGGTCTTTGTAATTTACCCTTAATTAAACTCATAAATCAGCAAGTATATGAGATGTCCAAATCACTCCCCCACAAATTTTCGATTTCCAGTTTTTGGGTGAGCCCATGAGCTCTAAACCGCAGTTGGTAAAGTTCTCTGGAAACTCGGGTTGGGGGAGGGTTATGGACTTATGGGTATGGGCGTTGTGGAGGGAGATCGGGTCTACTCCTCACACCTAGTGCCTCACTAGCACCTCACACGCACATCCTAGCATGCATTGGGAACATCTCCTGTACTTATTAGTGAATATTCATGGGAAATGTTCCCAATGCACAGTGGATGTGCTTGTGAGGCGCCCATTTGTGGGGAGCAAATCCCGTCACCTGTGGAGATTGGATCTGCTCCTCACACCTGTCACCTCATTGGCGCCTCACTCACATGCACATCCTACCATGCATTGGGAACATCTTCCCAATGCACGGTGGATGTGCCTGTGAGCGCCCATTTGGCCCAGCCCGAAGCATAGCACGAGTAAGCCAACTTGAGCTTAGTAACAAGGTAGGTTCCAGTTGGACCCAGATTAGGTTGCATTTGTCATTTCGTATTTTAAGGACTTAGCGATGAAATTTCTAAACATTTTCTTTAATATAAACGAATGAATAAAATCGAATCTATATATTTATATATATAACCTAAAAGCAAAAAGTTGTACCGCTGATTGTAAGAATGGAATCTTTTTTATATAATATAAATGAAATCTTATAATTTTACAATCTTTCTCTTTTCATGCTTTTAACCATTATCATTATAAATTTAATTAATTAAAATAATGCCATTAAATAAAATAAAAAAAACAATCATAATTTGTCCTTTTTTTCTTTTTCCTTTTTCATATTTAATACTAAACATATAATTATTCACAATGGTGCCACTGCTAACTATTTATAATGATGCCACTAAACTTTTATTTTTTTCATATTTGTTAAAAATTGTCTTTATCTCTCATTTTATTTACAATCGGGCCATGTTGGGCGGTGCCATGTGGATCGTGCTTCCCTCCCTGGGATACTTTAGGGGGTCGACCTTCATAGGCAAAGTCTTAGGCCAGGCCGGGCCACAAATTGAGCTAACCCATGCTTTTTAAAAATTTTGAAAAAATAATGAAAAGTTGACATAAATTAAAAAATAAATAATTAATTAAAAAAATTTAAAACTTTAGTTTATATGAATTTTGATGTATACAATTGTTTATATATGCAATAATAAAATGAAATAATATAATAATTTGTTAAAAATTGTCTTTATCTCTCATTTTGTTTACAATTGGGTTGTGTTGCGTAGTTCTTCCCTCCCCTAGGATGCTTTAAAGGGTTGGCCTAGCACAACCCTTGGCCCAAGCCCGCACAGGCCTGTGTCGTGTCGCGGGCCATACTAGTTCGAAGGCCAAGTCTTAGGCTAGGCCAGGCATGAACCAAGCTAATCCATGTTTTTATAAATTAAAAAATAGATAAAAAATTAACAAGATCTTAAAATTTTATTTTATATGAATTTTGATGTGTACAATTGTTATTATATGCAATAATATAATAAAATTGAGAATAAAATTATATATATTAATATATTATATAATTATATATGGCTTGTGTCGTGACGCGGGCTGGGCTAGTTCGTGGGCCAAGTCTTAGGCCAGGCCAGGCCACAAACCAGGCTAAGCCATGTTTTTTAAAAATTTTGAAAAAAAATAATGAAATTTTAACATAAATTAAAATAAATAGACAAAAAATTTAAAAGATCTTGAAATTTTATTTTATATGAATTTTGATGTGTACAATTGTTATTATATGTAATAATAAAATGAAATAATATAATAAAATTATATATATTAATATATTATATGATTATTGTATATAATATACGGCCTGAGCTTGTGCAGGCCTATGTTGTGCCACGGGCCAGGTTGATTTGTGGGCCAAGTCTAAGGCCAGGTTGAGCTATGAACCAAACAAGCCATGTTTTTTAAAAATTTGGAAAAAAAATAATGAAAATTTTAACATAAATTAAAAAATAGACAAAATAAAATAGATCTTAAAAATTTTATTTTAGCTCGAGCCCGCATGGGCCTGTGCCGTGCCATGGGCTAGGCTGGTCCGCGGGCCAAGTCTTAAGCTAGGTTGGGCCACAAACCTAGCTAAGCCAGTTCATAGGCTTGATAGCCTAGTAGTTCATCCCGACCCATCAACAACGCTAAATTAATTAATTTGAGATAGCCTTTACCAATCTTGTGTTGATAATACATAAAGTTTTATTTATTTATTTACTTATTTTAGTAAATTATTTAATTAGTTAATAATTTAATAATCTAACAAAGCATTATTACTAGCAATGTAAGACACAGAATCATGTATATATTTTTATATATTTACTCTCTCACTTGATGATCTGTTTATCTCATTTATTTTATAAATTCATTTATTTATTTATTAAATTAATTATTATTTAACTATTTACAATTATTCAATTATATAAAACAAAAATACAATAACAAAAAGTCATCTCTCCCTCTTTCATTCTATTTGTAATGGTCGTGATTATTTATTTATTTATTATTTTATTTTATTAAAAAAATTACCTTTCCTATATAATAATTTAGCTCTGACAAACCATTACGATCAAGAAATTGACGGTAACAGAAAAACCAAATCGAGAAATTGACGGCATGTCGGCATCCAATAATCAATAACTAACCAATGAATTTCAGTGAACTTGGTGTGTAGGAAACTATGAATTTCAGTGAAGCTTCGACAAATTTATTCCTCCTCGAACAAGTAATATGGTTATACTTCTCGGTATCTTGTTCCAGAAAACAAAGATTTTTTAACTTGTATAATTTCGTCTTATTCAGTAAGTTGCTTTAATTCTCACTTTCCAATTAACGAAGAAGAAGAAGAAGATAAAGGCCGGAACTCTATATAGCTTTCATATATATGTTTTGGTCCCACGCACATTTTGCTTTCGAGGCGATAGTTCTGAACATCATCTTCTGATCTTCGGGGTACGTGAAGCGGTTAACAAATTTTCAAAGCGTAATATTCGAAGAAATTGGTTAGAGGAGAAATCCATTTGGTTTTCAGACACACCTTTCAACTCGGGAAAGGTGTATTTCTTTTGCGCGTCTTTCCGATGGATGGCATGCACTCGTTTGGTCGTTTTGGTGTGGGACGTGGACACGTGGTCCACTTCCAAATAGATTCAATCACGTTAAGTGTATATCTTCCCATCTCACATATATGGATTAAGTTAAATGGCAAATTTGGGGTATTAGCCTTTAAAATTCATTTATGAAATTTCAAGTAAAAACAAAAAAAAAAGGAAAATTAACCATTTACCGATAGAGAATAGAGGCAAAATAATACACCTCAAAAGAGACGCCAATAACAAGTGGTTTACAGTAACCAGATCATTCTTCGGTCAAGAGTAGACCTGTTCATGGGCCGGGTCGGGCCGGACTTTCACTTGTCACTAATGAAAATATATTAGGCCCGAGCCCGAGCTCGGCCCGACCAACGGGCCTATAACTTGGGCCCGAGCCTGGCCCTGGTAAAAAGCCCGAAGCCCGAGCCCGAGCCCGAAGCCCGACCAAATTAAAAAGAAAACAATTTTCCCTATTCAAATTAGAATTAAAATTTCATATAAGTATTTTTTTTTCTATTTAAATGAACGATGGGCCTACAAGATGGTATTTTTCCCTTTCTTTTATATTTTAAAACACAATTTTACATTCTTAAATCAAAAAAAATTATTCAAATGGATATAATCACATAAATAATTTTAAGTTTAATATTAGGTTGGGTCGGGCCGGGCTATTTTGACAAAACCCGAGCCCGGCTCGAATTTATTGCGGGCCGGGCTTTTTGGCCCGAATTTAAGCCCACGGGCCTATAAAAATGTCCAAGCCCGTCCGGGGGTCGGGCCAGGCCAGGCCGGCCCATCGGGCCACCCGGCCCATGAACAGGTCTAGTCAAGAGGCAGAAACCATTTTGTAGGAAATAGGATTTCTCTCCACTGACTGTTTTGTTTTCTTATTCTTTAGGCGCCATTAATAAGAAATTTGTAGAAAATTGTTTTGCAAATAGATTCAACTATTCAAGGGATGGAAATCGTTTTGCAAAGATAGCTTATGGTTTCTTCCCATAAAAGCCCCCTTCTTTTGAAAGTTATAATAACCTCAAATGGAGATAAACAAACTCATTGTTCTCTAGCATTTTAGCCCTAATAACAGAAAAGCACCAAGAACAAACTAAAGGAAAATTCCTAAATTGATGCAACAACCCATAATATTGAAGTTGAGATTAAAGAGCACCAAGAACAAACGCCGATTACTCTCTAATTTAATGCTACATGCTTTAGAAAGTTTTTAATTATCTGTTCACCAAATTTCTTGGCATTCAAATGTTTATAATAGGGAAACAAAAAGAATTTTTGTAGAATCGTTACGAGAAAAAGGTGCCTGAAATTTTATAAATCTAACTTCGTTGGAATCATTATTGAATCTAATTCACTTAAGCCACATGGGGTTTAGATGTGGTTTCCTTTGTACCTATCTTAGTCACGTTGCTTAGCTTAATGCAAAGAGCACTTTTCTATGGCTCGATGTTGCAGAATACTCCTTATTGCTTCACTTGGAAAAAGCAAGGTTCTCAGGTGAGAAGAAGAAGAAGAAGAAACACTGATGAAATCAAATGATTTCTTATAAATGGATTTTGCCTTTAGCGGATTTAAAGAAAAAAGAAGAATGATTTGTTGCTGTAAATCGCTTGTTAATGGCTATTGGAGATAACCCTCATAACCGAACCAGAACCAGCTTAGGAGATAATCCTCCTGGAGGTTATCCTATCAGATCCAGAACCTCTAACCAATCCAGATCCGATCTAGACTCTAAGAAAGATAAGGATAAGGACTGTAAATCAAGATCAAGAAAATCCATCATGTACTCTATCTAGCTTTCTATTGTTATCTTGTACATATCATTATATGATCCAAACTCTTCACTACAGTCTATAAATACCACTAGCTTCAGTGTTCCAATTCACTAAAGTCTATTCCCTCATATCTCTCTCTCTCTCTCTCTATATTTTCTGTTATTTCTTTAGTTTAACTTGGTATCTGAGTCGATAGATTTTTCTCAAGGGAGCAATGGCAACCGAACCAATGTGGATGCTGGTTTGAATATTTTAGGATCGACATCTTCGTTTCCTTCTCTTCAAAATGTGACGCACTACCTTCCCATCAAGCTAGGCAGTGACAACTACCTACTATGGTGTGCTCAATTCCTTCCTATACTCCGACATTACCATCTAATGGATCTTGTTGAAGGGAAAAAGCAACCTCCACCAGAGATGATACCTGATCCAGCAGGCGAAGGGAGTAATCTTGAATCTAGTATATATCAAATGGTATGACACTGATCAACTTGCTCTAAGTTGGTTAATTTCTCCTCTTCCTGAGGGCGTCATGGCCCAAGTTGTGGAATTTTCAACTTCAGCAGAGGTATAGTGCTCTCTTGCTACTTCTTATTCAACCCATGCTAGATCTCGCATCCTGCAACATAGGAAATAGTTGCACAGTTTAAAGAAGGGGTCTTTATCTATTTCTGCTTACATTCGAAAAGCAAAATCTATAGCGAACAGTTTGTCTTTTGTTGTTGAACATGTTCATAAATCTGATTTGGTTTTATATATTCTAACCGGGTTAGGCAATGAATATGAATCTGTTGTGACTACCATAACCAACAAACCAGATGCGTATACCCTTAGTGTGCATGATATTATTGGCTCTCTTCTGAACCATGAGAATTGGCTCGAAGAGCAAGGACTTACCTCATCAGATTCAGGTGTTTCACCAGCTGCTAATGTAGCTGGGGTGAAACCGAAAAATGATACAGGCTTCCAGAATCAGCAAAAAAAATTCTCAGAATATGTACAACCACAGTAAAGGCCAAGGGCGAGGTCAACAACAAAATTCTCAGAATTATAATTCTCAACAAAATTATAACTAGAATCAGTTCTTTAATGGTGGACGAAGTAAGGCACCTCCGATTATCTGTCAAATCTGCAACAAACCTAGACATGGTGTGCTCACTTGCAGGAAGGCGAAATACATTTTTGCAAATAACGATGATCAAAATTATGAACCTGCCGCCTACAATAGTCACACTGCACCTTTCTACAACAATGGTAATTCTTCATTTGATCCAACATGGTATCCGGACTCTGGCGCAACACATCACATGACATTTGATGCTGATAACATCCAAAATCGGTCTGAATACCAGGGTTCAAATCAGATCAAAGTGGGTAATGGCCAAGGTTTGCAAATAAAACATACCGACTCTTTATCTCTTCTCTTTAATTAGCATGCTTTCACGTTGACTGATATATGTCATGTTCCAACGATCTGCAAAAGTTTATTGTCCGTTAGCAAGTTTACAAAGGATAACGATCCATCGTTTGACAACTACAATGGAAACAGTATATATAGTCTTGGAGTTCAAGACCTTGAATAAGTGATCCATCGTTTAAATGTGGTTCTTGTTTCTGCTACCTTTCTACCTTGGGGCCTTGGCCAATGTACAGACTGGAAGAGAGAAGGAGAACTGGAGGGTATATAATTTCGTTTAAACATTTTATTGGAAGGGAGCAAAACATCTACCGAGGTTTTTGTTTCCCTGCCCTTTTATGATTTTTGAAAACTGAGTTTTGGGCTTTTGGCCAGGCCCAGTTCATGTCATAGTGGGCTCATATAGATTTTCAATCTTTGGACTCAAGTTTAGGTCCGGTGGCCCGGTCCATTTTAGACGTTATGTATCTCTTGTGGGCTGTAGCCAATACAAGGAGCAAAAGTTGTTTACATTGTCCACGTTACCCACCCAAGACTGAAGAGTCGTTACTCCATCTGGTATTCCGGTGGTTTTCTCAGGGAGTTTATTGGCTCTTAACGTCTCAAGTCTCCTCACTGCGATAATTCATTCTTCCTGTTCGTCTTAATTAAAAATCAAACAAATCCTCCAGACTAGGGATTCCAATCCAACTGTAGAATGTAGATGCAGTAGTCTTCGGGACGGTAGTATTGATTATTGATCCCCTCCTCCTGATTTCTTCGACTTTGACTTTGGTGCCTAAGATGGCAACCTTAGGGCTTGAGAAGCACATGACTGTTTCATCCAAGTTCATAATTCCTTCTCTTATCTCTTGTGTCTTCGTCTTCCTCTCTCAATTCGCCCTAGCTATGATTCCTCGTTACTTTGCTTCCTACTCTCTTATCGCCAAACTCGCACTTTCAGGTCTCTCTCTCTCTCTCTCTCTCTCTCTCTCTCTCTCTCTCTCTACTTAGGGATTTAACATAATTTTCTTTTGCAGCTCTTCTTCTCCTGGTGATTGCAGGTTTTGGCAGATTTTTCAGGCGACTTGTTGGTGTTTATGCTTCTGCCCCGGCTTTTGTCCTCTTCAATACCTTGTTTATTTGGGGAGTTTATATTGTGGTTGTCCGACAAGGTGCATCTGTTTTCCAGTAAAATCAAGAAAAGAAAATTCCTTGTAGAATTCATCATCTTTCTCAATTTTGTTTATTCGAGGCGGTACTTTCACACTTCTACGAGTATAATTGTAGGCCAAAAACATTGAATTTGGCAAATAAAGATGGAGACTGTGAGGCTCTTGTTACTCTGATTAATTACTACCATACAGTTTGTGCATTATCATGGAACATGATAGCATCCCTTCAGTTAATTCCATTTACAATCACGGTGTACGCCGTAGAATTTTAGCAACTTTAAGCTTTTATCTTGTTTTACGTGGGTGTCTGACATCTTGGCGGTCTCACCCGTGCCTCATTGTATTAATTTTCTAGGCCACAACGATAGTTGTACTCATTCTCTGTGTCATCCTACTCTATATCTTTAATATCTATATCCATTTCACTGTCTTTGCATGTTTATCTCTGTTAATGTGTTACATGTATCCTATCATCAAGAGAAGTCACCGAGTGGATTATGCTGATGTCAGTCTGGGAGCCAGAAACAGGATGCAGGTTGTCTTAACTTACCCTTGATGCATGGAGGACTTAAAAAGAGACTCAAAACTAAAAATTGTATAGAGGTTGGTTGCAAATGAAGCTCCTTTGTTTATCTGCTTCATGCCTTCTCCCCAACGGCCCAACCTAGCATGCATATATGGAAGTTGTCCTCTCCCTATTTCCCAACCATGCAGCAAAGACTATATTATGGATCAAAGGCATTAAACTTTATCAAACTTGCTGTGTCAGTCAAGATAGTATTGTTTTGGTCATCAACCTCAGAATCATCCACATAATTTCCATTGAAAATCTTAATTTAGTGTTGCAAATTCATCTTCATATTTCTATTACAAGAGGTTGTCAAAAGCCACACAGCAGATGACCTTTAGAAAGCAAACAATATGGTGACTTTTCTTAGCAAACACCCCTCAATCCCATGTATTAGAAAAAATTGGACCAGATCAGCCTTTTTAAAGGTTGACAGTCATATTGCTAGGATTCCTCTCTAGTTCTATGCAATGATATCATTTCAGTGCGTTCTTGTCTATCTAAGGATGCTACAGATGCTTTCATTTCAGTTAATTAATTCTTATCTTATAGCTTCTAATACTATCAACCAAAAGTACCCAACTTTTGACGAATCAGGCCTCTCTCTGGCATCCCAAACTTGCATCTGCCACCAAGCAAGACATGATGATTATGCCTATAGTATATGAACTTGTAGGTTGCATTTGCTCATAAAAGAGTGGAAATGACTTCCAGAAGACTGGAATGTAGACAATATTCCCGGGCCTTGCATTTACAAATGAAAAGTTTAAGGAATAAATGCTTTTTGGGAAACAATTCTTGCTCTCTGGGGAGAAAAGGTTTATATGTCTTGTGTTCTGTTATCCATCTCTGCTTCTTTTCATGCAAACAACCAAAACCATAGTGTTGACTACGAATAAATTAATCTTCCTATCTTTACAAACAGATTCTTTTAGTAATCACAAATGACTTATTTGGAAGTTTATCTTCTATCTCTCAATTCTGAGTTTCTTTGCCTTGCAGCAATTTCATATTTAACCGATATTGTATTCAATGTAGAGCTTGCCCTGCTCATGATTGGTCTTTATAGGTCTCTCTCTCTCTCTCTCTCTCTCTCTCTCTCTCTCTCTATCTATCTATCTATCTATCTATCTATCTATCTATCTATCTATCTATCTCTTTCTCTTTCTCTCTCTAATAATATTTGGCAAGCTAAACATTTTCAACAAATATGATGACAAACATGGTCCTGTTGTCAGCATCATCTGTAGTGATCCTGGTTTGGTAATACATGGATATTCATGCTTGGAGAAATTTTCTGGAAGTGCAGTTACTGATGCCAAACCCCACTCAAAGGTTGTAGAAGTTAGGATAGAGTTTTCATTCATTATAATGGGTAATATGAATATTTACCTCTTTTATTCATTTGTTCAGGAAAAACTTTCGGGAAGTGTTCTAGATGATGAAAACCCAACTATAGAGACAGAGGAAGTAATTCCATTTCTAGAAAACTCTTCTAGGTAATGCCAAGCACCATTTGCTTTGTCATTTACTGATTTATGTTAAATTTTTTTTAGTTGATTTTTACATTTTATCTACCATAACTTTATTACTGTCATGAATTTGCTTTCAAAGACTTTTCATTGTGCTAGAAAGATCCATAAAAGTGCATTGCCAGAGCCCAATGCATGATATTTAGACGCAAAACTAGCCACATGGCATGCGCTTTGATCATGAGAGTGCAAGAGTGAGAAAGAAAGATGCAGAATCAACCAATGCTGGGGGTTTTGCCCTTCTCATGGATGTGAGTTCAGCCAAACTATTTAGTCTCTCCTCCCTGGCTAGAGAAGGACATTTGGTGAATGCAATCAGATGGAGTATAGTAAACCAATGCAACTAGATGGAGTAAAAAAAAATTCCAAATTCCATTCTCTTCTTTTTGTAGCCAAGCTATGACCAGCTTTGAGTCAACTTCAATAATTAGTTTTTCGATATTCAATTCCTTTTATCTCTAAGTGAATCACTTACACTAATAGGGCCTGAAAATAGAGCAATAACTTTCCCTTCCTCATCCTAAAAACTCCCCCTATACCTTCACTACTTCTATCAAAATTCAATTTAGTGAAACCAACACCCAGTGGGGACCAAAGTGGACAAGTCATGATTCTGAGAGGTGCTGAATTAGTTACTTCCTTCCGGCTCTTGAACAAATCATTTACAGATATACCCTCAAATAAGTCCAAAGGCTTCACCCAATGGGCAATGAACCACCCTAACAATAATGGTTTCAATGATGGCATCTTTACTTCATTCCTTTTTAGAGAAAATCATTTGCCATCTCCACTATGTTCTACCCCTCTTCTTTGACCACCTGATAGAAAAGGAAGCAAACAAGCTTTGTACTTTTGGCAAGGGGTCCATCTACAACCAAACAAAGAGAGAAACCAATCCCAAGTCACTGAAACAAATGGGTAGGAGATTACTAAGTGATAGCAGCTCTCACCATTAGCCTTATAAAGAATGCACCAATTTGGGGATAAATACCAATTAGGTCTTTTTCTTTGTAGTAAATCACAAGTGTTGCACTTTTTTAGGAAAGCTTCTCCACTCTTGAGGGATCTAATACCACCTCTTCCAAAACTTGAATCAATTCTAATATGTTGTTCAAATCAAAATCTTTGACCCCTTTTAAAACCCAAATCCCACTCAAACCAGAAAAGTGGAAATAGGCTCATTATTAGACCTTGAAAGGGAATACAAGGAAGGAAATTGTTCTTTCAAAGGTGAGTCCCCTACCCAAACATGCTCCCAAAATTTCACAAGGTTACTAGAGCACAAACCATACCTGATAAAAGACAAGAAGGATGGGTAGAATTGCATGAACAGATTTCCAAGGACAAGCTCTTGTGGCCCTAACCAATACTCCCGCATTCCAGCCATCAGTCGCTTGTCCATGAATGCTTATAATCACCTTGGCCCACAACTTATCCCCATCCACTATCAATCTCCATAACCATTTTCCAAATAGAGTTTCATTCTTCTTTTGGATATTGCCTATGCCTAGTCCCCCAATATTCTTACTTCTAGTAATCACCTCCCAGTTGACTCTATGGTCTTCTCTCCTCCCTTGGCTCCAAACTTCTACTCACTCCCTTAGGTATCTTAAAACACTAACAAGAAGTAAATAGGAAAATTTGCTAAAATGGACTTAATCAATGTAATCCTACCACCCAAAGATAGATAGTTCTTCTTCCATGAAGCTAGTCTCTTTATGAATCTGTCAACCACCAGGCTCCAAAAGCTGCTCTTATTCAGATTATCCCCTAAGGATAGTCCCAAATAATTCAATGGCCAAAGAGAGACCATACATCCCAATATATGTCCTTTCTGTGACCTCTCTCTAATTCATATTAATTCTGACCACACAGCTCTTATCAAAATTGACTTTCAGGTTTGACATTTTCCCAAATAATTGAATCACCAACTTCAAATTCCTGGCCCATCTGACCTCATCTCCTTCCCGAAACATAGTATACTTATGTATTAGATACTAATACATAACAGATACCTATTCTTAGAAAGAAAGGGAGAAAAGGACAACCACTTCTGCAAATGGTGTAACATTGCAAAGGCTCATTCTAAAAATTCAAATTTCCATGTGACACTGATTATACAGTATACTTGTGATGTCCCCCNAAAAAAAAAAAAAAACCAAAAAAAAAGAAAGAAAGAAAAAGAAAGCATGCTATATGTGATTCATATGCAAAGAATAAAAAAAGTAAAGAAGAAGAAGATGGACCTTTAATACCTTTATAATGGATTACCAAGAGTGAACCCTGCCTCTGAGAAGCATTTCTTGTGAAGATAAATTTTTCTCAAAGTTTCTTGCATTCCAGTCAATCCTTATGGTTCATATAACAACTAGTTGAAAAATGGTCTAGGTAATTTTCTCTCTTTTGCTCAACTTTTTATGTTTCAGCTAACTGTTGTTCCTAAACAGACCATCTGGCTAGTCCAAACATTTCAACCATCTAATCAGTCTTCTTTCTGGTACTTTTTTTGACATGAATTGCTTTGGTGATTGCAATATTATGGAGCATATGGTTATTTTAAAAGCCAATATTCTATCATGCCTTTACTTAGTGTTGTTTTTCTTTGACATAGTTCCTTTTCAATCAGGAGGGTGAGATTCTGCAAGCACTGTAAAGCATACATCAAGGGATTTGATCACCATTGTCCTGCTTTTGGGAACTGTATTGGTATTTGTTGGTCTGCAGTCTGCACTTTACACATGCATGCATACACACACACACATAGACAATACCAAGAACCATAAAGTTGTAATCTCGAAGCTGACATTCTTACTTGCAGGTAAAAAGAACCATGTCCTCTTTATGGTTCTTCTAGTCGGATTTATTTTTGTCGAGGCTTCTTATATTGTGTGCTTCACTCGATGTAAGTAATTAGTTTTGCGGTTCCCCCTGTATATATTGCATTTCTTATTGAAATACTTGGTATGGTCTACTAACAGCACACCTTGCTACATGTGGAGTGGACCCACCATCAAACCCAGTCAAACTAGTGCTTCACATCATCCAATACACGACATTCTTTGGGATGGGTCATAAACTATATCTAAGCATTTATTGGATATTTAGGATCATCAATCAAGTTGATTATTGCTTTACAAGGGTTTGAACCTTTGGATGGCAGGTCCTAACATCTTCCATGTGTACTAATGTACCACCATGATGTTAGTAAAAAACCTTGTGGTCTCATTTGGGCTTGCTAACAAGTTTATGAAATGATGGAAAATATCCTATGACCAGGGAAACTTCAGCATTCACATTTCTCAATAGGAGAAAGAACCATCAAATCATTAAGATGATGTTTGACTGTTTGATAATGTGGTGTTTCAAGCTGAAGCATTCAGCTTGAATCATAGTGTTACAACCTGTATCTGGAATGGAGAAAGATGTTTTAAGACAAAAGACAAAGTACAATATTTTATTGTTTTGAACGTGTAGATGTCATTTGACACCAAATAGGGCAAATGAAGTAGGAATACTCTCCAGATTCAGGAAATGTCAAAAATGATGTTTCTTCCAACACCTCTATGTGTAAAACCTGGTGCTAGATGTGGTGTTCCCACTTCAATTTTAATCTGCTTTACCAAATACACTTTTTGAATGGTGACATTGAATCACCTATATAGTGCTGATGTGGCAGCATTACATAGGTGACATGCGTGCAATGGCATCATTTTCTTGCATAAGTTGATGTAGCCTTAAGTGAATTATTCAAGCAAGATTTTGACAGAGCCTCTGTGGTCTCTACTTATCTGGTACTAAAGTCTAGCTAGGGGAGGAAGCCTGGCATCCAAGATCTTCAAGTCCTTCTGATCATTATTAGTGGTCATTTATTTAATGATCTATATATTTTATCTTTTTCAATTTGCATTAAAAATGAGATGTCTAGTTTCTTTTGTTGATTTTCCGTACTCTTTTTTTGTTGGGTATTCGGTGCCATGCACCATTAATAACTTCTCCTTGACCCCCTTTTTCCCCAAAGTGCTGGTTGTAGGATTTGATTCCGCGTCAACGCTGGAACAAACCAGTTAACACACCAACGAGCCAGCCCTCAGCTGGTTAATTCTGTGCACTCCTATTTGTGCTTTTTAATAGAACTACATGTAAACAGATTGTTTTTGGAGAAAAAGGATACATTGCTTTGAAAACAGGAAAATTTTGAAATATCTTGGAAGTGTTGTTTCAAATTTTGATGACATATTTTTTTTTCTTTTAAACTTATGATGTTACCTGCCATTTACCTTTTAGATGCTAGTTGCCTTATTTACAAGAAAGAAAGGATAAAAAATAAAACATTGTTTTTTCTTTTTCTTTTTTTTTTTTGCTTAAAAAACATTGAATACAAAGGATCCTGCAGGCAACAGCATCTTTGCACTCAAAAGAAGGCAAAATTAATGTCCCCTATTTGGATAGTGGTAAAGAAATAGTTTTCAGGTTTCCATTCTCATGATTTTTAGGTTCTACTTTTTTCCTCGGTATAACTTCTGATATATTAGACTTCTTAATCTGATATACAGTTACTACAAGATATCAGCTGATGGACAAGACTGGATTGGAGGTATGCTGTTGCATTTTGATCTTAATGTTACACAATTATTGGAGATAGTAAATCCCTGTACCTTCTAATTTGTGCATGACATAACAAGTGAAGAGTTTTCTTTTGACCATTGAATTGTAAGGAAAGATGTTTCTACTATTTGAAGTTAATCTTTAATGGTACAAACCAGTTATACCATCAATTGCGGCATTATGACTTAGTATTTGTAATTTAATCCAATATTTTTTTTTGTGCAGTTCAGTCTATCTAGCAACTTTGTTATCAGCACAATGATATTTACTCTTCTCCAAATGTTGTGGCAGGTTAGCTTTTTAATGGCCTTGTTTCTTTTGTTCTTATTTATTAACCAAGAAATGATAAATTATTCTGTGCCTTTAGGTGTGATATTTTCTGATCCACCATATCTATATCCATTTTTACAATGCTAAGTTTTGATGGATTGGGTGCTTGACCTGTTAAATTGGGCTTGCATTACAAATTGTTTACTGATATTGTTAAAGGTATTGCAATTAGAAGTTGAAACTTGAATATTCATTCTTTTTTTTCTAGCAATGTTTGTATTTTTTTTTTTTGTACAAGTATAATGGTGGAGTTCATTTAAAACATTAAACTTATCTTGCTTGCATTATAATTAAATATTTGTTTCTACCAAAAGAATATATTTGTTGTCCAACATACAACATATCTAATATTTATTGCCCAACTAGGTATAAGATTCTGGGATAAAGTCCTATGCCATGTTGTCCCTGTATATTCATACAAATTGGCAAAGCAACCTTAGCCGAGTATAAATCCCAAGATTTTGGGACAGATATAACTCCTGGAGACATGCACTCCCAAAGTCCACATTGAATGATTTAAAAACAAGTTCATAGACCACACTAAACAGATGCTATTTTCTCTTCCTCATGCTGAGCCAGGTTTCCTCAATACTTATCGGTATTTGAACCCACTGGCACACAATCTACAAGGATTTAGGGGGTTTCTTTATGTTAAAACATTAGAACCCCTCCTAAGATGTTTATCCTTGAAATACTGCACTGAAAAAGAAAAAAGAAAAAAAAAAGAGTATCGCCCCTTTGCGTATTACGTGTCTTGATACTTTCAACCATGCTTTGGACAAGGCTAAGATGATGACGATAATCTGCTTGTTAGGATCATAATGAATGCCTAAAGTTCTCTATGGTTTTAGTGAATAGCTTATATTTTCTATTATTTGTTTATTCTTTCATTGAAATTATATAGTGCTAAACATGAAAAGGTAATGATAATTTGTCTGATCATCTGATGAGAACAAATTGTTGGATGTTAGGTCCCATTTCTCCTATGGCATATCTATTGTATCTGTTTCAACATCAAAACTGATGAGTGGGTAAGTCGCTTCAAAATAATTGTTGAGGATCATATCCAAGTTTTGTGGTCCTTGGGTCCTATCCATTGCATAACAGCTATTCAAGGTGCACAGCATTGAAACGTGAACTTTAATGACCACTTTGATCCAAATAAAGGAGCCCTTTTGGTCCTAAGGCCACTGTAGGAAACTTGGGCTTTTCAAATTATATCGGCTTTTGGTATTATCCCTCTGCCACTACCATTACCTCGTAACCTTTGACAATGTGTTCTTTTTCAGATAAACTGGAGAAAATACCCAGAGTTCCATCTTCTTGTTCAGTGTCAGGAGCATGCATCTCCTGAAACAAAGTTCAGAAACCCATACGACAAGGGTGTATTAGGCAATATCATGGAATTCCTGACATCTTTACAGTACTCTACATCCTTGATGCTTACGGCGTTGGTGTGATAAGCCTTAATCGATCTGCTGTGCTTTTCTTGATAAAACGTATAGCTGGTGGAGCCTCTGGTTCTTTTGGCAATGATTTGTCTTAAACTTGGAGGTTTCAAAACAATCAGATTTGGCTGCCTAAAATTCATCACAAGAAAAATATGGAAGAGATTTTAGAGGGTGGATCAGTGATTTTACCGGTGGCTCCAGCTCGGCTTGGCTGAAGGAACCATGGTCGATGTGAATTTGATTCATCCTAACGATTGAATGCAGAGTTAGATATTTAATTTTGTGAAGCCTACTGTGGTAAATTGGTAATAGAGTCAATCAGGCAAGGTCATGTGGAAAGATGCGGACGTGTACATGAAATTAGCTTTTTGTGTTAAATTTACAATTATCTCTATTATGAATTTATAAACCCTTTGTAAATTTATATTTGTATTTCAAGGGCTATATGCCTATATGTATATGTAGGAGTCATATTACTGTTCGAGGGCAATTTTGCACCAAAATGGAAAGAAAAAACTGATTTTGTCCGGTTTGTCCCAGTTGGTGGATATAATTATGCGTCCCAATGAACATCTCAACAAGTTCTTAACCCAACAACCACACCCCTGAAGCGTTTTAAACTTATTATTCTTTGAAGGGGGTCCATGTCAGCAAAAATTGTCCAAATTGGAAGTAACAATTTATTCAGTTTGACAAGGTATGTCTTATGTGCAATAACAACCCTAAAAGTTGACATTGGCACGGATCCAAATTGAAGTCAAAAACCAAATTTTCCTAAGCCTAACTATTTTTTATTTTTGCTTGCCACTAATAACATGTTATTAAAATATAATGAACGCTGAGAATCCGGAACTGCCACCAACCAGATACCACCAAAAGAGCTTCTCAACATGGTCTATAGCCACGCATCACAAACATGTTTCATACTCGCAGTAACATACTTTTGAGACAACAACCATGTCTAAGACTTGTTCTTTTTTCTTTTCTTTGGGGGGGGGGAGGGGGGGCTTGGAGGCGTGTTGTTGCCTTGTTGGTAGAAGACTAGTTACTTGTGGAAACTTTTAGGCTTTTCTGGCATCATATTTTTCCCACATCACAGATTTACCCTTAATTTAATATTGTGACAAAATTGAGTTTTCAACAAGGGAGCCCACTTTTTTTTTTTGTTGGCTTCCCTTTTCTTCTTCCACTCCTGTTTTTGACGTAAAGCATTTTCTTTTTTTTTTTTTAAACAAATTCAATTTAAATAGCTTCTAATCAAAGTCAGCTTAATTACCAAACAATTGATCCTAGACTCCTAGCGACTGGTCAGCCAAAAATAACAACTAAATAAATAAATAGATTCCTGGTCACTAGACCAAAGCAGCCTCCCTTTTCTTCCCATCAGCCGTCCATGTGGAAAAAACATGAAGCTAGATCTAGAAAAAAAAAGAAGAAGAAAGCACCTCTTTTTTGAAAAAATATTCTGGGGTATTTAAAAAAAGAAAATGACATTATCATCCTAAAATGAGCGAAACAATAGCCGGGCTGGGGGATTTCAGTCTGAAAAGTTTTTTCCATATATGTTGCATCCCAACGATAACGAGCACAGCCTTAATGTTTTAAAGTTTAAACAAACAAACAAGAATTAAATATTATACCATATATAAAGATATTATACAATGCTATAGGCCGGGCCACGGCGACTGTGCCTAGGGTTTTTTCTTAGTGCAGGGTCAGGTTATGCGGGCCCAGCAGAAAAGATCATCCCTGTGATTAATTATTGGGTGTAAATTGGCCACTAATTAATCGTGTCCATTGTCCTACTCTCTGCTTGTGCTAAAACTCTCATCAACCACTACAAAAGCTATAGTTCATAACTTTTTGATGCCATAAATAGTAAACCAAAAGCGTTTGCTAACTATACCTCCACCAGTAAACTTGATGTACAAGTGAACCATATCAAACATCCAACCCAAAGAGATCGGTGGGACAACAAAATTCAGAAACGACCAATATTGAATAGCTACTTAACGATGTTGACCATTTTGAATTCTGAAACAAATACTCCAAAGTTAAAATGTCCTTGAAGCCAGTTTGGGAGGAGTGGACTAGTCACGAATTTTTTCTAGTGGGTCATTTAATAACTTGCATCAAAAATAATTTTCATATATTAATGATTTCACTAAAATTAATAAAAAATAATCTAAAATATTCAAAATACGATTTTATATCTTAAAATAAAAAATATAGATACATTAATGACTACAAGTAATAAAAATAATTTTCATATATTAACACGTTAATGACACTATTTCAACAAAAAATATATATAGATGTCATTTTACAATTGTCCTCAAAACAATCGTATATCTTAAACAAAAAATATAGATACAAATACATATAAAAATATAATTCTAGAAGGAAAATTTGAAAGCATATAGAACTATTAAACGAACTACACAACTATAACTCTATAAGTAAGAAAATTAGAGAAACCATACTTTATCTTTCTCAACTTTATACTTGAGATTATTGTAATTAAATTAATGTGGTAAGTGAGTTCTAGATTTTAATTTCATAACAAGTCTTGCATAAAAAAAAATATACAAAAAAACATGTTAGAAATTCATATGCATAAAATACATGAGGGTGCTATTCAATTGGAATGGTAGTTTTCCTTTGAAGCTTTGTCTTTTATTTTAGTTTTTTTTATCTAAAATTTAAACCCAAAGGCTTTTTGTCTTTTTTTATATCCAGCAGTTAAAGCATATCTTTCTTCTCTCTTGATAGGCTAACCCATTCTTTAATATTTAAGTTAATCAACCCTACCCTTTTAAATTTTCATTGAATTCCATATTGGACATCATGTGGTCAATATGGAAAAATGGCTCAAAATATTTAAGTTAATATCATTGGGTGACACACTCCATTGCTTCTATAAAGATATAGCTTTTAGGTAACTATGAAATTTCTTTCGTTATTATTATTATTAGTAGTAGTAGTAGCATTGTTGTTGTTGTTAAACGATTATATCTTACCAGTTATTGAGCATGGTAATCTATTCTAACAAAGAGTTTTCTAAGCAAAGTTCAAGTATATAAACCTTGGGGTTGTGTTGTCTTCCAGAACATGGGAGAATATTGAGGATGGTTGTAACTAACATCGTTTCCAATTCCATCAATTAAGATTATTAAATTATGATCAAGTGGCTACAACAAACCAACTCTGAGTTGATGATCAGAGGTGCACAAGAAAAATATTTCTTTACTTTTATTTTTCTTGTTTTCAGAGAAATGGAAACTAGAAAACACCCAATTTGGTACCTAGAAAATCAAACTGCTTTGATATGCTGTCTGTCTAGGACTCTAAGTTCTCTTTATCTCAATAATATACACACTATCAATGGTGGAGTACTAAAAGCAGATACTGATCCAACATAATGGCTAAAGAAACTAAAATTAATAGAAAAAGGATCTCACCAAGGCCATAACCTATATCTAGATTCTGCAAGCTTCTTTTGATAGCTTCCAAAACCAATTTCCTGCTAAAACCCACAATGACAAAATGGGTTTTACATTGTTTCTATAGTTTAATGAAATAAGATTCAGCTTACCAAGGGGGAAAAAAAAAGGTATTACATTTTTAATTCCAGATAACCTTAGACAAGCAATCCTCACTGGAAATTCGTCCAATCTCCCTATACATGGCGGTATATATACATAATGTAAGGTGATTTGGATGACAGCTCAGTCCGATGCACCAAGTCTACAACGGATCGAGCTCGAATAACCAAACCACCTTGGGGCAAGTCCACCTCGGAACGAGTTCATCTCGGTGCATGATCGCATCAAGATCACCTCTGTCCCAAGGCACTTCGACATTCGTATCAGGTCGGATCCAAAGGGCACTAGCTTGGGTAATACTGACCGACCACTGCATGGCAACCCCGAAGATCTCGCCATCAGATTTCGCGCCTCACGGGATCACGCCTCATAACAGCTAACACTATCTCCCCTGTCCAATTCAGGTGGAAGTGATGAATCTTATCAGTTGGCAGCATTATCCCCAATTAACGCGGAAACGGACCTCATCGTGACGAGGATCCCGGAACCGCTCCACGAAACCCGCGAAGGCTCCACTATATAAAGGCTCCACCCCCCGGGGGTGAAAGGTACGCGTAATCTCTGCTCTCTATCTCTCTTGCATTCTAAGCTATTATCAGCTCGCAACCAAGTACTAACTTAAGCATCGGAGCGACCTCGCCGGGTAAGCAACCCCGAGTTCTCTGATTCACTTTTTGTAGATCAACTGAGTCCGTCGTCTACTGGAAGCCAGATCACCTCCAACTGGGAGCAGTCAGATTGCGCTACATCAATACCGTTTTTGTACTTCAACTTCTTCTGAGTTTCACAGGTGAACAATAAAATACGAAATTTATTGGAAAAGAACCTTAATTAGTGTTTGAAAGCGTGGGCGTTTATTGGGATCGATTTTCAAAAAAATGCTCATGCTTTCAAGACTCGTTTTTCACAAAAAAATGTTTTAATTTTATTTGGGAGTGTTTCACATATACAGTGAGCAATACTATGTTGTTTGGTAAGGTGATTTTCATCATCATTTTTCATGTATGTGCTGATAGGTAAGCACCACATAAGATATACGTAATCACCAACCAATCAACCATTGGGGGAAATGGTTCACCATGCATGAAACACCAGATTTGACATTTCATGCGTCAGTGGGGTCCCGATTTACAAGGCATGTCCGATTTTTCAATAAACGCCTGAACCAAACAATGAAATATATGGACGTTTGTTGAAACGCCTATGTGAATCCGACATGGCACCATTTTTTTTTTTTGAAAAACGGCCATGGTTCCAAACATCCCCTTAATTAGCATATCAATCCCCATAAATTGAAAAAAAAGAAAAATCAGGAAATAAAATGCCAAACTAGCGAGCTAGGGGTGTCCACGGTTCGGTTAACCAAACCATGGCACTTTTTAGTAAACCGAACCGGTGGTACCAGTTTTTCTAATTCTCCAAACCGAAACTGAACTGGTACCACCGGTTAACCGGTCCGCCAGTTTCAATTTTTGACCGGCTCGGTTCTTTGATTTTTTATATTTATAATATATATTATACAAATATATGTATAATATTATATAATAAATAATAAATGATATATAATATATTATAAATAGGTCATTATAAATATAATATAAGTATATATATATATATATATTTATATATATATATATATATATATATATTATGAAAATATATTTATATATAATACATAGAAAATATGTGACATATATTAAAAATATATATAAAATATACATAAAAATATATATAGCGATCGATTCGGTTAACCGTCGGTTTTTTATAGGTTAACCAAAAACTGAACCGATCCTTCGATTTTTTAAAAATTTCAAACCAAAATCGAACCGATCGATCCGATTAATCACATTTTGCGGTTCGATTCTATTTTTCGATTTTTTGCTTTTTTATGGACACCCTACAGCTGGAGAGACCGTGAAGCAC